GGAGGATTGTCACTTGTTTCGTACCGTCCCTGCTGTAGGAGGAGATGTTCTTTTCCTTTCTCTTTTCTTCCTCTTCCATGTTTCTCTCCCTCTCTCTTTTTCATCCTTGCTGGCTTTGATTGCACGTCCACCCCCACCACCACCACACCCACCGGGCCTCTGGCCAGTTTACTGGAGCGGTTTTCTGAGACTGCCCAGATTAATGAGTGTATAAATCAGTGTGCGTGTGAGGAGGGGGGAAAGGGGGGGTGGGTGAATGCCTCACCATACCACAAATTGTGTGTGTGTGTGTGTGTGTTGAGTGTCTGTGTGCATGCCTGCTTACTGTACAAGCCTGTGTGTGTGTGTTTGTGTTGGGCGTGGGTTGATGTGCGACCTCCAAACCAAACTTTTTATTTTGCGGATTTTCCCCGCAGTAGAAAGGGGCTTCGAGTTTGCTGCCCTGACTATTTATTTATTTTTTTTTGCCCCTCAAATCACCAGAAGTCACCGTGATTGCAATCAAGAAACAAAAAATAAGCGTGGCCACCTTTGCCGCCCCCAACCCATAATAAGGTCAGAGGATGGAAAAGCTTCATCGACGAGACGCTTTCGTGTGCCGATGTCGAAAAACGCAATCGCAACTGATTAAACCATCTAAAAATATCCACTGATTAGAGCCACATGGTGTGTGTGTGTGCGTGTGTGTGTGCGTGTGTGTGTGGTCACAGAAAGGGAGAAGGAGGCCAGCAGAGGCCGCTTCGAATCAAAGCAGTGGGGGGGAGGAAAAAAAAACAGTTTGTCTTCTCTCTGAGCTCTGATAATACCGCCACGTGAGTCCCCTTTGCGCCGTGTTTGTTTATTCTCACAACTCGCGCACACTTTTCCCTAACACACACCAACGCGCCGTCATGTCAACACTCTGCGCAAAACGTCTATGCGCAGATTCACTCGCATGTGCATGTAAACATGCGGCGGCACGCCCCGAGCCTCACCCGCCCGCCCCCTTCCCCCCCTTCGCGTAGTTGGACGGGGTCTCATAATAGCCAGGTGGTTTCAGTTAGGGTGCACTCTCATGAAAGCAGACGAAAAGTCACAATAAATATGTTTTCTTAGTCAGGCACGCTCGACTTTTTGGTCGCTTGCCCTCCACTTTGGAACAGCCGCGAGATTATGATTGCTGTTTATTTTAGATTTGAAAGCGTCTTGTCAGCAAAAGATGGTTGAAACTGAATTTATTGTCGTGATTTTCGAGTGGAGTAACGTTTAACCTTAAACCGGACTTAATATGTGTGAAATGACTTTTTAATGGCTTGTATGCAAATAAGCGAGTCCTTGGAGTGCCTGCCCGCTGAAGTTTGGAATGAAACAACCATGATATTTATCTTTTGTGAGCTGCCGATTTCTCAAAATAAAATGTTCCGCCCCACTATGATGTAATAGTTGGTCTAATTTACATATTAACTGCCCATCCACAGGTGCTCGACTGGTTCGCGCGTCAACCTCACAGTGCAGAGGTACCGGGTTCGATTCCA